AAAACTATGCTATATACTCTGGTCTCTGCTCAGCAATGTGCTACACACTGGAGGATTTGAGAGACAGATTTGAGGAAAATAACTTTTTCTGCCTTTAAAGAACTTATAATTATTAAAAGAGGTAAAATTCGCACAGAGATCAGAGCACATTTTGTGGTATAGACATGTCAGTGCTCTAGTAGGGCAGGGAGGAAGACAACGAGATCTGGAGCAACACTGTCCTGAGTGGGATGCAGAGAAAGGGCCAGAGGACAGCCGCCTGTTTGAGAACCGCGGGAGGGGGGCCCGTTAGGCCCGAGGGAGCTTACGGAGTGTTGAAAGCTGTCGGCATCCATGCATTAAGAAATGGAATGTTTTGCCCTGACCGGTTTTGCTCAGTGGTTAGAGCGTCGGCCTGCGGTCCGGAGAAACCCGGGTTTGGTTCCCGCTAAGGGCATGTACCTCAGTTGCAGTTTGTCCCCAGCCTTGGTTGGGTCGTGCGGGTGGCAGCCACTCAATGTGTCCCTTTCACGTCAATGTTTCTCTCTCTCTCTCTCTCCCTCCCACTCTATCTGAACAAACAAACAAAAAAAGAAATGGAATGTTTTGAAGCTTGTTTTCAGCAGCCCTTGGAACTTGAGAAGGTTGTTCCAAGGCGAGTTTATGAGGAGGAGTTGGGAGAGGGGGCTGCTGCCCCCCTGCACCTACCTCTGCGGCCTGGAGCAGGAACTCTCCGGTCTCCACCGCCTCTAAGAGGAATAGGTGGGAAGGGGCAGTGGCCAGGTTCTCCTTCCCCTAGAATCCCGAGGCCTCTGTATTCCATAACTGGGAGAGAAAAAGGATGGATGGCAGAGCCACGGCGTCCCCAGCACCCAGCCCAGAGCCTGTCTGTGCACAGCAGGTGTTCGGTGAGCGCTGGGGATGGATGCCTCCTCCTCTGGCTCTTCCTGCCGTCTCTCCAGTCCTCGCTCTTCCTCCTGTCCTCTTGCAAGTGCATTTCTATGCTGCCATTCCCTCTTCCTTTCCACAGCCTTTCTTCCACCCTTTTCTCCATGAGAAGTAGTAAGTCGGGCTCGTGCGTGGTAAAAGGGCTTGGAGCTCATTCCCGAGCCTTGTGGTGGGGCTGGACCGCGGGCTGCGCACCAGAGCGAAGGCTGCGCCTCTGCCTCAGCCCTGGCTCACTGCCCGGCCCCTGGCCTCACCGTTAGCGATACTTTCTTCATGGAGGCGAAATTCGAGTTCAGTATTTTACAACAAAATATGAAATTTTCCTCAAAGAATTATATAAGTGGGAAAAAATTAAATCTTAGGCGACATCATCTGAAACGTGCCTTTTAGATAACACTTTATTGTATATATTATCCGAGGATTTAGCTGTTGCACCTGTTGGCATAAGCCACAGTAATTTTTCTCGCCTCTGTTATTTAATGCCACTCCTCAGGCGATCACCTCCTCACTTAAAACCATTTCCGTGACTACATGCCGTTTCCTGTCTCTGGTCCCGGTCTTGCGACTCGGTCAGATGTGCTTCTCTGCCCTTCCTGCAGTCCCTGGTGTGCGTGTTGTCTCAGAAGGACAGCACACTCGCTCCCCGGTGAATTGTCGGCAGGGACAGAAGGGGGAAGAGCAGCAGGGCCCCCGCTGGGTCTTCTCCGTCGTGTGGTGCAGGTTTCGTGGCCTAGAGTCAGAAGGCAGCACCCTCGTGGCCGCTGCCCTTCCCCGTCCCGTCAGGCTGCGGTCTCCTTCACCCGGGCCGTAGCTTTGCAGCGGTTAGATGGTCTACCTATCTGTGCCCATAAGAGCCACGTGCTGTTTTTATTTCACTGGTCAAAATGGACAGATTAATAAATGTGATTTTAGAATGCTTTTATTTTGAGAGTATTTCCCTGATTCTTGTTCGTGAAGGCTGTGAGGTAGGAGTTAAGCATTGCACACTGAATTTCAACACTCCTTCAACTAGTTTCTTCATAAAAAGAGAGCCCAAATGACTAACCCTTTATGCTGCTATAGAAATAGGTTTATAAACTGTAGCTTAATAATACTGAATAAATCCTAGTAAACTGTGGTTTTCATAGGAAAGTGATTAATATGATGTGCTTTGCATGGTGCTCTCCTGGCATATACTCCTCATTAAAATAAGCAGAAGTTGGGATTTATTCAACAAGGAAGCGACATTTGAATATTCAAGACGGAGAAGCCTCCATCTAAAGCTATTGGAAGAAGCAAACACCTAAAAGAATATTTACACAGAGGCAAAGTCCAAAACTACAGAGAATTTTGTAAACTCTTTCAGCAAATTATGTAAAATCTTATTTGAAAAGAAAGGTAGTACTTGTATTCTAATCATTTTTTTAACCGAAAAAATAAAAGAATATATTTTCTTAAAATAAACTATAAATCACTATACTTTACAAATCTGGACCCAATAGAAAAATGGGTTCAGTATTTCAGCAGCCAGTCCACAGAAGAGGAAATCCAGTAATCATATGAAAACATGTTCAACCTCTCTGTGATCAGGAAAATGTGAAGTCAAATTATAATGGCTAATCATTTCATACCCATGAAATGAGCAGAAATGTTTCAAGTGTGATATAAAATGTTGACTCAAATGCAGAGCGATGGGAACTTTCAAGCCTAGTGTGCACATGTGAACTAGTGGGAACACTCGGAACAAAGTTCAGGGCCGTCTTCACGATGTGCGTATTCTGAAGTCCAGAAATCCCACCTGTCTTTCTCTATGGGAACATTCCTGTTCCTGTTCAGGAGACATGTTCAGTTCAGCATCACTTTACAATAGCCCAGAGAAGCCTGCAAACAGCCTAAATACCCTTCACTGGAGTTGTGGAAGGTCCTACATGGAGCACTACACAGTGGTTAGAAGGAAGGAACTAGAGCTTATATGTGGACACATTTTAAAAACATGTTGAGTAAAAAAACGAACTCGAAAAGGAATCTTATTAAGTATGAAAACCTATAGAACAGACTCACTATTTTATGGTATAGGAATAGATTAGAAAAGGAATAAGATGAGTAGATAAATACAGGGAGTTTTAACTTATTTTTATAATATTTGTTAAACTGGGTTATAGATACATGAGTGTCTTTCATGTATCATTCCATGTGACTTTTTTATATACCTGAAACATTTTATTAAACAGAGAAAAGATAATTCGTTTTTATTTTTCAAAAGGTTCTAGTCACCAAATATCTTGTGCTGAAAATTCTATTAAATAATTTACGTGTTGCAGTAAATAAACAAAGGGAAATTACTTTGAAAGAAGGTAGCTATTGATATATTCTTCTTAGTCAGCTCTGGTTGCCAGAACAAAAGACTACAGACTGGGTGGCTTAAATGACAGAGTTTTTTTTCCTGTCACAGTTCTGGAGACTGAAGTCTCAGATCAAGGTGCCCGCAGGGTTGGGACCTGGTGAGGGATCTCCCTGCAGGTTACAGATGGTGCCTTTTTTCTGTGTCCTCACATAGCCTTACTCTGGCGTCTGCGTTCCGAAAGAATGTGAGTTCTTGGTGTCTCTTCTTACAAGGACACCAATCCTAGTGCATCAGCATCCTGCTCTTATGACCTCATTTAACCTTAATTACGTCCTTGGAAGCTGCGCCTACAAATATAGCCACACTGGGCTTCAACATACGAATTCTGGAGGGACATGAACATTCAGTCTACACACAGTCTGTAGTCTCCTTGGGGAAAGAGAAGGATGAATGAGAAGTCATAAATGAAAGCCACCTGAAGCATTTTTTTATTTGGTTCAGTATTATCAGTGTACAAATAACAAGCTTGGAGATGCAGGCGCCTTTCTAAAATCTCCAGATAGGTTTCTTCTTCCCCCTGTACTTCTCTGGGACTTCTTTAGGTGTTTTGTTTTGTTCTATTTTGATGGCTATAGACTTCAGGTTGTTTTTTGTTTTTGTTTTTTTTCCCTTGTTTGGCTTTTAGGATGTACATTATAACAAATCCTGAAGATATTATGTATGACTTATAATTTCTGAATATCTGTTTTTAAATTTACACTGATGCCATATAACCTTAATTTGTGTCCATAAGTATTCTTTTTCTGGTAGTCCTTTTAATTATTCCAGTCACCTAGATTAAAATGTTTATATTTTGGAATTATGTTTAATCAATTCCCCTTCATTTGGTTTCATCCATTTCTTATTGTCCATGCGAAATGTATACTCCACAAGAATAGGGATAATTACATGTGGAAGTGGAATAGTAAGCAAAGTCGTTTTAGGAATGCAAGAGGATCCCAGTCTCTTGGTTTTGTTTTTTAAAATGCTGCCAGAAGGTTTGATAGTGTCTCTGGTTAGGTCGCTTGTTGCTAAGGTGATCTAAATGGTCCCCCTAGAGTGGACATGCTCTGACAGAGGACCAGCCGTGCCGCATTGGTGTGTGATGCCTGTAATAACACCATTCAGGCAGTAATCACGCTGTAGGGACATTTTAACTGAGTAACTACGTTGGGTCAATAAAACTGAAAGAAGTCAAAACCCGTACTACTTTGGAGAAGGAAAAAAGCATAGATTGCTACATTTTTTAGAATATTATCTGATAGCTTTCAGAGAATTATTTCTATGTAGCACTGCTTATTTTAGGTAGGTGCTTTTGCCATTGACAGATGGGGGAACCAGCAGTATTGCTGAGGGCCCCGCAGTGGAGAAGGCAAACTGTGGCACTCAAGATGGGCACTCAGGATAGGGTGCCTTGCCTGTCGGAGTGTCCTAGGAGGCCAGGCCCGTCTCCCTGACAGTTACACCTGGTAAAGGCTCTGAGAGCATCCAGTTCTGTGACGGGCCATGTAGGGAGGCCAGCCTTGGTTGCCATTTTGCAAAGGTACATGTGAGCAGGCGACTGGCTTCAGAGAGTTGGTAGGACGAGGCGGCCAATGCACACTGGACTGTCTGTGAACTAAATTCATTTATCGTAAGGAATTGTTAAAAGTAATCTACAGTTTTTTATTGATTTATTTTCGGATGTTCAATGGCTTTCTGCTTCCTGCAGGAGGAACAGCTGAAATCTCATGAAAGCAAGCTGAAGCAGATTACCACCGAGCTGGCCGAGCATCGCTCCTACCCCCCGGACAAGAAGGTGAAGGCCAAGGAGATAGACGAGTACAAACTGAAAGATCACTATCTGGAGTTTGAGGTATGTTGGGCCGAAGTGTAATAAAAGCCTGTACCTGAGTTATTTTATGATTTTCCATGAGGCAGTTATTTTTTAATAGTAACTATGAGAAGTGTGCCTTGCCCAGCTCTACCTTAGGAGCTCCAGGCATGGTCTAGGGTCATGGTGGCCCCTGCTGTTTATGATTCTATTTAAGCATCAGACCAACATCAAAGGTAACTGTCCATCTATGAGCTTGAAAGCACATCGCCTGCCAGGTTGGAGTGGGTGCTGGGAGGAAGCACCGACTGCAGTCGGACATGCCACATGGGCCACTGCTCGCTCTTCCTGTCTCTTCCAGGAGAGTTCGAGTCAAAACAGGCACAGTAGAGAAACTGAGATACAGGGTGGCATGGAGTGTCAGCTTTTTCCTGCTGCCAGGCAACACCGACTCTCTTCCTCTTCCCCTTCCCACTCAGTGCCCTTCAGAAGGAGACTGACAGACCGTGGTACATCCACACACATCCATACTCTACAGCAAATGTGGCTATTAAAAAGGAGGGGAGGGTCCGTAAGCTCTGGTGGTGGGAACTGTAAAAACAAGTTGACAGCAGTATGTGTAGTAAATGTTACCTTTGGCTAATTTTCTCCCAAATGAAACAGTATCCGGATGTTGCAGGATCAGCCTCTGACTTTCCCCCTTCGGCTGCCTGCTGCCGCTTTTCAACATTCAAAGTGTCTTCCCCCCACCCCCACTTTTTTTCTGTTGGGTGTGCTGAACCCATCTTTAGCTGTGCTTCTCCATTGTAGCTCTAGTGGACTTTACTTCCCATCACCCATCTCCTTCATTTCCGGCTCATCATCCTGGTTCCTCCTCGGGCTTGATGCTTACACCCATCTGAGCGTCCTCCTGGCCCTCGCGGGCCCTCGAGGGCTGCCCAGGAGCCAGGTCCGAGCGCTGCGTCTGCAGCGTCCACGCCGTCACGTCCTCACCATGCTCTTACATCCTCTGCTCCAGTCCAGGGTCTCATCTGTCAATGAACCTGGGGGTGTCCCCTCTCTCTCTTCAGTTAATGCTGTACCCTTCTGACAGGCTTTTTCCTCGGGCTCAACCCAGAATATGGCATCCCTCTGTCTACAGCTGCCCTCGATTCCCCTCTGGCTCCTCGCAGAATTTGCCTTCTCAATAACGTCTCCATTCTTTTTGTTTTTAATTTTGTTTTTAATTTTTGTTTTTATTTTTCAATTTTAGGTGACATACAGTATTTTATTAGTTTCACATGTATAGCATGGTGGTTAGACATTTATATAACTTACAAAGTGATCACCCCAATAAGTTCAGTACCCACTTGGCATCATGCATGGTTATTACAATGTTACTGACTGTATTCCCTATGCTATACTTTACATCCCATGACTTTTATAACTGCAGTGTGGATTTCTTGATCCCTTCCCCTTTTCTCCCTATCCCCCACACTCACTCCCATCTATCTATGAGTTTTTGTTTTGTTTGTTTTATTTTGCTTTTTAGATTCCACGTACAAGTACAATCATACAATATTTGTCTTTCTCTGACTTATTTTACTTAGCATAACACCCTCTAGGTTCATCCATGTTGTCACAAATGGCAAGATTTCATTCTTTTTTTAATGGCTGAGTAGTACTATTCCATTGTATATATGTACCACATTTTCTTTATCTTCTTGTCTATTGATGAACTTAGGTTACTTGGCTATTGTAAATATCACTGCAGTGAACATAGGGATGCATATGTCTTTTCAAATTAGTGTTTTCCTTTTCTTCCAATAAATACCCAGTAGGGAATTGCTGGGTCATAAGGTTGTTCTATTGTTAATTTTTTGAGGAGCCTCCATACTGTTTTCCTTAGTAGCTGCACCAATTTACAGTACACAAGGGTTCCTTTTCTCCACATCCTCGTTTACACATGTTTGTTCATTCAAAGTCCCGGTCCTTAATCTGAGAGGATTTGGGTTCCTTCTGTCTTTCTACCTCGGTCTTTCCACAACACCTTCATGTACGTCAGTCACATTTCTGTCCGCTCTCCCTGAACACACTTTTATGCCTTTGTTGACCCACCTTCTTCTGCCCGAATGCTCACCTTCACTTCTGAAGGTCTTTATCTTTCACGTGGGGTCCAAATCCCCCCTGTGAAAAGCTTGCTCTAACCGACGAGTTGCGTTTACTCCGTGGTGGTCCCACCGCAGCGGGCTTTGTGCTCCCACTTTGTGTCTGTCATGGACTCCCTCACACCTCCCCTGCCCACGACTGAGCCCCTGGAGAGCAGGGACCTCGATTCCTGACCTGCGCGCTGTGCTGGCTTGTGGACTTGAACAGGATTTCACGGAAGCTTTGAGCAGTTGTAAAATGTCTGTTAAAAATGCGGCACTCGATCCACTGTAGATCCACGCACTAGTTTCTTCACCGTCAGACAAGTCTCTGCTCTGGGCCGATGAAGAAAAAGGTAGAAGTTTATTAGCACAAACTGTGGAAGCTTACCAACAAAAGACTTGAACAAATGTTTTTAAAACAAAACAACGAAGCAGCTCATCTTTCCCTGGGTGTGTTCGTTCCTGGGAAATGGGAGTTCTCAAAAAGCAATCATCGTTCTTCACACGTCTAGAATGGCTTTCAGCTACAGGCCCTCTGGTTTCACACGTGCTAATTAAATTTCCCAACACCTCAGTCCCTGGCTCCCAGCCCTCAACACCTTCCTTTGTGCCCTTGACTGAGGGCTGAGCCTGTCCCCAGGAGGCGGGACCCAGCAAGACCTCAGGAAGGTTGCTGCTTCTAGAAGCGCTTCCTGCCCCGAATGGACCATGGTGCCCCTTCTCTGAGCGGGTGAACCAGCAAGAGCCAGCATTTTTGTCTCCTGATGTGAATAGACCAAGCTTGGTGGGGAAAAGTCTTGCTTTCATCACATTATAGCCTCAAGGAGTCTGAAGATGGCGTCCCAGGGCCCTGGGCTCACTGAGATCAGAGCCCTGTGCTGGTGCACCAGGCCTGTTGGACCTCTGTCCGGCTGCACTAACCTGCGTCTACCGGGGAAGTGGAGGGACCTCGCTGTACAGATGTTATCTGAACAGGTTTTTGTAAAAGTAATGGATTTTAAAACTGCATCATTATCTTTCACTCACGTAAAATTGAAACAGTGTATCTTGTGGGGTCCCCTTTGCTATCATTTCAGCCACCAGATTTTGTCCAGTGTGTTTTCTGGAGGAGATCCTTGGTGTGACATCAAGCACTTGGCGTTATAACGACATCCCTGAGCAGGCACCTCATTCCCTAAGTAAGGGGCATGAGGGTGATTGACCATTGTGCCCTGTGTTCACTGCTTTATCCTCTGAGTGCTCAGTGCATATTTATGGAATGAAGGAATGGAACTGTTTCATGTGTGTGAAAGATAACATCACTCGAAGTAGTTCTCTGAGAACACTTAGTAGCTCCCCTGAAAACAAATCTGAGGGGCAGGTGAGGACAGACAGCTGTGTCTGCAGTTCACTGGGAACCTCACCTGGGCAGGGACGGCAGGGGAGCTTTCGCCGGTCTGTGGCCTCGTCACCAAGGAAAGATCACAGGCAGGAATGAGCTCTCTCACCTGTTCCTCAGGGCCACCCTGTGGTTTCAGGGCCGTTCTTACCATTTCTACATCTTGTTAAGGAAAAGCACTCTTATTTCGTTAGAACATTAAGCTGTTATTAATAGCACTGGGAGCTGCCCCTAACTTTTTGCATTTCAGTTGTTTATTCCCCGAGTTGCTTTGAGTTATTGTGGTTGCCAGTCTGTTATCCGAGAAATGCCTGGATGGTCTTCCTCTGTTCCTAGTGGGAGGGGGTTCTTGGGGTACTGCTGGAGTAAGCATTTCCAGAGGCCCCCATGGGAAGATGAGATGTGGAAGAAAGCTTTGTTTCATAGAATCACACCCCTCTGTGTGCAAAGTCCCATTGCCCTTCGTCAGTCCTGGAAGAGGTGCAGCTGGGGCTCCAGTCTCCCTTCCACGGCACCGCGTCGGGCTCGTTGCAGTCCTGCGGTCCATTGTGTGGTCCACGTGGCCGTGAGCCATGTGGGCGAATGCAGGAGCGTGCGAGCCCCGCAAGCCAGGAGCCTGGAACAGGAGCACCGAGAGAGCAAGAGAACTCCTTTGGTTAGGGGATTAAACACCTCAAATCTTCCCCTGCTTGCCGTGGCCATGCCCACTCTGGCCAGTGATCTGTTCCCAGGTGTGACTGACGGGCAGGTATCTTCCCTGTTTCACCCAGACCTTACTGGGCATGCCTACAATACCTGGCCTTCCCTTTGCTGCTTTCCAGCTATTCATAACTAGCTAATTACAACGGTATCATTAGTACAAACAATTCTTCACAGTGGCTAAATTCACAGCTCTTTCTATGCCTTAGAAATTCTAAAGAAAAAATCATTTTCCAAACCCTGACGGTCAGCACATAATGAGAAATTCTGGTAAATAGGTAGGTTCAGGCTTTATTATTAAGTCTACAAAAAGTCTGCAGAGAGCCAGGAGACTTCCGTCTCTCTCAGCCTGAGCCTGTTTAAAGGAGATTCAAAAAGCACCAATAGGCTACAACTGACTAAATGCATGCGTCTCTTTGTTGACTGTTACTTAGGGGGTTGTTTTGGTTTTTTACTGAATTGGTGCCCCCAAGCTATGGCTATTACTTTCTTAGAAGAGTTTACCTGGAATCTAATTTCACTTTTGAAGAAGTTGTTAGGCATCCAAGTCTACGCTAAAGGTACCATCATTTCCCAATTTCCAAAAATAAGTATCAGAAATAGCCTCATTCATCATATTAATGTATTGCTACTTTATTCAGTTCCAGTACTTGAAAATGTCTGACTTGATCTCCATTCTTCTGATGCATTTGAAACATATCAAGACGTGGGACAGATGGGTGGTTTGCATGAGCTATAAAAGCTCTGGGAAACTCCTGGCCCTTAGAGAAACAGCCCACTGACAAGCTCCCGTGATAACACTGAAGTTGGCCCCAGGAACTGGACTATATGTTTCT